AATAAAGAATCTGCACAAAAATTCCATCAGCATTTTGCACAGTATGATAAAAAAAAAAATGCATTAAATCCTCAGCATCAACAGAGGTTCAAAGTGAGACAGAATCAAGCTAAATGAGGTACCCATAAAGAAAAGAAATAGCTAAATGGATATTAGGGAAGTCAAGATAACTACAAAATTAGCAACACAATAGCTTATAGAGTCTGCTTTTGCTAACAAAAGGCAATCATTACCACCTAGCATCTCTGTACAGTCCTGGTAAGAAAAGGTAGTTACATTCTGAAATGAACAAAATAGCATGGTTTCATGAAGATAACTTAAATTTTGAAGTTAAGGTACTTGAACTTGAACTTCTCAATAAAAGACTTTCTGATGACACCGTCATGCTGAAAGTGGTCTCAAGTAGAGAATAGGTGCTGACTGCATTACTCAATTTCTTATCTTCACATCAGTGACTCCAGTGGTATTCTTAAGGGAGACATTTTTGGGCTGCTTTGATGCCTTTTGATACCCTTTGGGGCACAATTGCCGGCAACATAGAACTGGCCATTGGGACACTGATCCTCTACGTCTTCTGAACATCACCGCCGGTCAGAGAAGACATGGAAAAATTTCTTGGAAAGTGGAATCTTTCCTGAAATGAGTATTCTATCCTTAGATGAAAATACCATCAAATTTTAAAATAAAAAGGGTGTCAGTTGATACCCTGCAATTTAAAGTGTTTTTGCAAATGTTCGGGTACGGAGGTGGCCTCTGAGCCCCAGAGGTTGTCAGAAAGCTTTCTGAAGCAAGATGATGCATTTGCAGTTAATGCAAATTTCTTCCAGGGAGCAGAAGCAATTAGAGCTGGTCTTGGATTCAGTGTGAAATCTCAACCCAACCAAGTCTGTTCAGGTTGTTCTGTCAGCTCTTAAGTCATGAAAAGAAGTCAGTCTCAGGGAGCAGACAGTGAAATGCAGAAAAGACAATTCTTTTTGACAGGGTGCTCCATTAGCTCGCACTGAGGTCCCTGACGGGGAGAAATAGGAACCCTCCAGCTGGCAGCTCTGGAATTAGGAAACATAAGAGGTGGCAGGGAAAAATCTGCATTATGATAGCCTCAGAAAGTCTTCCTGATGACCAAAACCTGATGTACCCAACTCATATCTGTTCTAAGCAAGTCTGTCCATTGATTAGAAGCCTGTGAATGCACTTGACAAGTAGCTAGCTCTGGCCTGGTTGTTTTCAATACCATCATCAGTAGGAGACAGAAATTGTAGAATCATAGAATGTCTTGGGTTGGAAGAGACCTTAAAGATCATCTAGTTCCTACCTCGTGCCATGGACAGCATTGCCAGCTGCTAGGTCAGGCTGCCAAGTGCCCTATCCAACCTGAACGCTTCTAGGGATGGGACATCCACAGCTTCTCTGGGAAGCAAGCCTATGTCAGTGCCTCTCAGTCCTCCGAGTAAAGAATTTCTTCGTAATGCAATGTAAATCTCCTCTCTTTTACTTCAAGACGATTTTCTTTTGTCCTTTCACTGTCACATCATGTAAAAAAAATTCTCCCTCTTGTTTCTAATCTTTAAGTACTAGAGGGTCACAGCAAGGTTTCCCTACGGCCTCTTCTCCAAGCTGAACAAGCCCAACTTCCTCAACCTTTCTTCACAGGAGAAGTGCTCCAGCCCTCTGATCATTCTCATGGCCCTTTTCTGGACCTGATTCAACATCACCTCATCCTTTTCATGCTGGGAGCTTCAGGCCTGGATGAAGTACTCCAAATAGGGCTTCACAACAGCAGGGTAAAAGGAGACAATTACCTCCCTCACCCTGCTGGCCAACCCCAGTTGCAAATTTATAGCACTCAAGAGCAATGTAGTACACAGACCAAAATGGAGTAGTGGCAGAAGGCTCCATTCAGCTTAAAATTTTCGTAAGTCACTAAAACCAAAGGCCTTCTGTTCACCTGGTGGGAAGTCTTTTTCTCACTGATGCCATCTAGTAGCTGACTACTAATGCTTCTGGTTGAAGTAAACAGAAAGACATCTACAAGGACAGCTCTGAAAGTAATGCCTTCTATTTTATGAGGTTGGTCCCTGACATTGGAGGTGGATATTGGTGGTATGACAGTATAGAGGCTGAACCTTCCTTACAGTAGTCCATTACATTTTCTTGCTGTGTGATAGATGGCAGCAGAGAGACTGTCTGACAAAATGGTATCTGACATGGAAGTGTGTATGGAGCTTTGTGTCATTGAATTCCTTCATGTGAAAAAAATGATTCCCACTGACTCACACTGACACTTGCTGAATGGAGACCAACCAGTGGATGTGAACATGGTGAGGTGGTGGGTGATGTTGTTTTAGCAATGGTGACAGCAACTCTGGTCACCTCCGCTGAAGCAGACTTTTATGAGCATTGCATGCACGCTCTTCTTCATTGTTCACAAAAATGCATAGCTAATGGTGGTGAAGATGTTGAAAAAATAGTGTTTTGTATCTGAGAATCTGCTCTATCAGATGGTATTAATGAGATTTTTCTAGCTGTTGTAGTTTCCGTGGAAATAAATAGAATGCATTATTTTTGGAGCAATTTACATATTTTGAGGTTTGCTTTTTGTAGTTTTGCATTTAAAGTTCCTTATTGGTCTCCACAAATCAGAAGCTTCTATTCATTAGAAGTACTTCAAAATCATATTTAAGATCTGTTCAAAATGCAGAATATTAAAGAATAGGTAAAAAGCACAGCAAAAATGGGAGATTAAGGAAGATGTGAACTATTTTATTTAGACCTGATTGCATTTTCTTAAACATAAAGAGAAGATCAAAATCAAGTAACTCAAACCTTTACGCAGTTTGTCTTTGGGCACAGGGTATAAGTAGAAGCAGCATCTGAGATCACTGTGTCTCTCAAGCAGCCTGGAGAGAGCCAGTGTCATTTTGTTTAAATTCAAAACATGTTCTGGCAGCACATGCCCATCTGCTAACCCTCTGGCTAAAAGTCAGGTCTGCAAAAGTAATAAAAAGATGCAACTCCTGTTTTCTAGTATGATTTTCGCCCCTTCAGACACCTCAAAGAGCTTTTTGGCTGCCTGAAGTATCTAACAACACAAGAAATAGCTAACAAAGGCAAAGGGAGAGAGAAAGAAAAACAGCAGTCAAAGGGAAAAGGAGGACAAGGACAAGAAAAGAAAAAGCCAGCATGTTCTTACAGGACTTTGGTTGGAAGTTGTTGCTGTTCATTTTGTTGTTGGAATTTTTATGGAGGGAGACTCTTGTGGAAAGATCTCAAGGGAAAATCAAAAAATTACTGAGGAGCTGAAAAACAGCAATAATGATTATTTTACCAGTGAGTAATTAGAAACATATTTTAAATATTCTGATATATGTTTAAATGTTTTTGTAGTTTAATGATTTTTTTTAATGTTTTATTTTTGTTGCCATGTGGAAAATGGCAGCAGGGGAGGCAGTCTGACAAAATGGTGTCTGACATGGAAATGCGTATGAAGCAAAGATGTGTCACTGAATTCCTCCGTGTGGACAAAAATGTCACCTATTGACATTCATCAATACTTGCTGAACATTGATGAAAAGCAGCCTGTGGATGTGGGTGGTGCATTTCAGCAGTGGTGACAACAGTTGGTCACCTCCTCTGGTGCAGATTTTTATGAGCATGGCATGCAGTCTCTTGTTCGTCACTGGCAAAAATACACAGCACAAGGTGATGTCCTATGTTGTATGTGTATATGTGATCATAAGTAGAAAAACTTACATGCAAAGCAGAATAATCATTCTTATTGATAATGAGCAGAGTAAATACAGGAAAAAAAAAAAATTAAGATTAGTGTTAGAGAGTGTGGGAAGCAAAGTGGCAGAGATGAAATCATAAAGGCCTTGTGAATGTTAATGTATGGATGTTAAAATGTTGAAGCAAGTGTATCTCTCTGAGGAATGAAGGTAAGTGTAAATGTACCTTATGAGGGACCTGAGATGGAGTTAGTAAGACCTCCCCCCCCCCCCCCCCCCATCATTTGCTCTGTAGGTGGAAACAAATCTGACTGACAATAGGATTCAAATTCTTTGGACTACTGAAGTTACAAGTATTTTGTCTTGAAACTCTGAAGATGTTTTTTGTCATCCCACTAAGGGCCAATAAGAAACTCAGAGATAATTTTGAAGAAATAATAGAAGGAATGTATGGGAACATGGAGGATGGCATGATTTTAACTGTGAGCTTCATTATTTTAAAAATAAAATACAAAGTGTGAAATTGTAGAGATGATAGATGTCCTTTTTAATTTTTTTTCAGTTTGTTTCAGAAGTAATTTTTTCACCAGTTTGAACTACAGATGGGTCTCATGGGATTTGCTTTCAAACATAAGGGAGATATTCAGGCTTTCAGATTTCATTACCACTTTCCTTGTTATTGTGTGCCTTGAGGAGCTATAAATAACACATGGCTAATTTGTGAATATGACACGTTCCAGGGGATATGTGTATTTTAATCAGGGCACCTTCTGACATTTGGTAATTGGTTCAGAGATTTGTTATATAATTTCATGATTATTAAGTTGCTAGGAGGAAAAAAAAATCTAAATTTGTTACCCAAAATCTGCCCTCATTGGACCCTTGTAGTATCTTTGTTTCTTGCAGGTCTAACTACAGATTTCAAGTCAGTGAAAATATAAACTATTGTTCCAGTTTGTTTTTTTTTTTTCTATTTCTTATAGTTCTAGTCATATAATTAGTAGCTGTGTTCTTTATGACATACTGCTTCTAGTTAAAACTTCCTATTTGTGTGTCTATCACTAAAATGCTTGCTTTTCAGATATATTTATATTTGGTCTGGTGAAAAAAAAAATCACTTTTTGTGTTGAAAGTATGTGTTTGATGCGGGGATTATTGTTTTTAAGAACAAGTTTTGCTGGTGTTCAAATTATGATCAGTTGCCTTATATTCTGTGAAACACCCTTTGAACATCTGTACAAAGTGACTGCCCCCTAAAACCATTCTATTTCACAGAATCACAGAATGGCCCGGGTTGGAAGGGACCTCAAGATCATGAATCTCCAACCCCCTTGCCACAAGCAGGGCCACCAACCTCCCGATTTAATACTACACCAGGTTCCCCAGGATCCCATCCACCCCAGCCTTGAACATCTCCAGGGATGGGGCATCCACACGGTTTCAAGCTGATGTAAGTTATTTAATCATTATGTTCATACTGAATTTCTTTTTATGGTTTGATCTTTTGAACGGAGATGTTGTAGTGCTGAAAGGTGCACTTCTCAATGCCTGGTCATGAAGCATCAATACAACCAGGTTGTTTTTGTTATGGAAATCCATTGATTTTGGTAGAATTATTCAAACTCAGAGTCTGCAATTTGTTATTATTAATGCTGTTATCCATATTGAAAGTCTTGTCTCTGATTAGGCTGTTGTGACAGTTGCCTCCTCCAATGGCTAAAGGGCAGATGGTGCATGAGGCTGTCTGCTCCCTGGCCTTGGCACACGTAATTCCTTGCTCCAGAGGGTGTGTTTCTCTTGTGCCAGACAGCACATTTATTTATGCAGGCTTCACAGAATATGGTTCTTGCCTTAAGAGTGCATTTACATCATTTGCAGCACAGATACACTTTCAGGTCCTTTTGCAACATAGATATTCGGTTTCTACCCACAACCAAGTCCGAAGAAATTTCATTAATATATCAGTCTGACTTTAGTTAGATAAGAAGGCATCATTTACTTATTCAAGCAAATATTGATACAATTACTTTTTATTTATTTATGGTATCTTTGAGGCTATCCAGGTAATGACTAATGCAATGATGTTGTGCTGACTTTAGCTATGCAATGCTATAACAAAGAGCATTTTTTCAGTGACGTGCAGTATTACAATTTCTCTATGTACTCAGTGTTGGCCATAAAATAGAGACTTTTCCTTGTGGTAGATTAAGGAACATCTTTGATGTTTCCATTCAAAGAATATTGCTTTCATAAGGTGAGCATTAACAAGACAGTAGTGACACATTTTCATGACAAGGTTGCTGACTGAACAGATCATTAGAGAGAAAAGGATCAAAGCTACTTCCACGTGTTATGTTTCAGTGAGATGTAAGTACGTCACTGACAAAAAAGCGAAAGCAGCAAACATCACGTCAGGTAAAGCCCACTCCTCTTGTCTTCCTCTCCTACTCATTTGCTTGTAGCAAATCACAATCTATTTGCATTTTGAAAGAGGCATGTTGGAATCTGCCTGCAAGGGTTAATATAACTCTGATAAGAGATTTATGAATACAGGCTGTCCTTTGTTACTAGTGGTCATGACAAATTACAGAATGACAAAATTAAGTATTTAGTTCTTAATGGCTCTCCACTTCTGTCTGGAATTGCTTTTTATTTTTTTTCTTTCCTGTAAAGACAAGGCACGCATTTAAAACCAAATGTATTTGTGAAGCACAGAAAAAATATAGATGGTTCAGCAAAACAGAAAGTTTCTACTGTCATTTTGCAAAATATTCCTAGTGACGCTGTAGTCCCAAGCACAAAATTCCCTTCAATTTAATTAGCACGTAAACCTATGGTTCTCCTTTTCTACCTGTATCAACTGATAGGAGATCCAATGACTTCTTCTAGGGATATGCAGTGTAAAACCTAGAGCCCAAGGGCAGGGAAGCTAAGTTAGCTTGTAATAGCAAAGTATTCTGCAGGCAAGAGAGGTGCTTATGTTGTGATATAATGTCTTTTGAATATGTTGGATTGTCATTACTCACATTCATCTTTAAGTGCTTATCAGATTCTTGTATACCTGAAAGAAAGTGAGGAAGAGCTGCCCTAAGTTAAATGTTATGCAGTAGGGTTGTAAGACATGTAGCCAAAGTGTTTCTCAAACTTTCTACAGATACTCCAACATATTTGAAAATTTTGACAGAAAAGAATAGGCAAGGGCAACGATGATTGATCCATGTTCTTAAGAAAAAAATTGAAGCCATATTTCCACCAGAGGCTTTAGACGGACATTGATATATTTATCAAGAAAAAAAAAACAAACACAAGCACAGCCTTTGCATCACTAACGTTGTAGCCTGGTGCCAGAATTTACAGCTGTAATGTAAGATTCATTGCCACTCTCTTTATTTATTGGAAAAATCTCTTGCAGCTGAGCAAAGGCATAAATATAAAATTAAATCACGAAAACTACTTCGAACTAGTGCTAAAGATACTCCTTAAACTCATGGGACCAGGACAACATCAAACTAATGCTGAAACACAATTGAGACAAACGGTTTTTATTTAGCCATCCATTATGCCAAACATCACTTTACAGTCAATATGTAAAACCACAGATTATTTGAGAGTATTTGTTTTGTAAGCTCAACTAGGGTATTCGAAGACAGCATGTTCAATGAAGATACTTCCATGAATTTCTGTCCTTACGATGTCTCATTTTCGTGTCTCTGTAAAATTACTTTTATGGTGTGTTTTACTAGTGTATAATGCAAGGAAACTTTATATGCTCATGAAAAATGGCTTTATAAACTACTCTAGTCTGCCAGATGATTCTTAGACTGCATAGATGTGAGTATTAATGCCTGCAATATGTTGATAATATTTGTCCTTTTAGGTCAGTACAGACTTCTGAAGTATTTACAGTCTGCAAAAATAGCGTCACAAGTACAGAATAATAGTTATTGAATATTATGGGTTTATAATACATACATATTTAAATATTTCTCATAAAAAATCTTCTTAAGAGTGCTAGTCTTAACTGCTGGACAACTTCAGAGATATGTTATTTCAATTTAGACTTAATCATAAAAATCAGTACAAATTTTATGTAAAACATGCAAACATGTCTTCTTGCTCTAGTCCTGCTTGGTGCTATATGAATGTCCTGCACATGCTTGTGTGGTTGCACCTTTTGAACAGATACCACTTGGAATCACAGGACATGTCAAAGGCAACTCTCAGAGCTGAAATCAAACTGACTGTGGGACTGTGGGTAGGGCTCGTGTAGGCAAGAGGGTCTGATTCTGAACTCATTCCTGTGTGCAGCTCCCTTGGGAAAGCTACTAAAGATGTTGCTACCCACCATGAGCAGAGTTAAGGCAAAAAAACAACTGTGTGTTCTTCAGTCAGCCAATGAGGGAACTAGGGCCAGCTAGATTTCAGGGATTTTAAAATGGAGCAAACAACTTCTTCTGTGTATGTAAATGATACCGACTTCAACTTTTTGATGCCAAGACGTAAAATTTTCTCTACCACTTTAATCATTATGTTTGAGTACTTAAATCTGCTCAGTCTTGAGACAATGGAAGAGATAGAGATCTGCCCTTTCCCAGTCATGCTTGATTTCTTAAAGCCTTATTCAAGTCCTGCTAGATGCAGGCCCCACTGAAATTGAAAGAAAATGTTTATGCTGACTTCAGTGCTTTCTTTGTCACATCTGTAATTGCCACTTTACCAAAGACCTGACTATAATTGTCCTTACAATGTCTCTATTTTTGGGATATTCTCACATCCTTGTGTTACCTTACAAACCAATGGAGGACTTCTTGCTTTCTGTCTTAATACTTCTTGCGCTAAGACATCTTATGCTTATCTGAAGCATGAAACCATTCAGTGGAAATATCTTTCAGGGATATTCTGAGCTTTCCTGGAGCATGATGTACTGTGTGCTTTATAAAGAACTGAAAAGAATATGGTATAAAATAGATGAGAGTATATATGCTAGAAAGAAAAAGAGATGTGGAGAGATGTATATACTCATCTACACGATTCTCATCGTGTAGATGAGAACCTGCATGATGGTTTTGCGATCAGTAGAGGTCTCGTACCTGGCTGAGTAAGAGGAAAACAGGAGAGAGCAGAGGGTAGCACTGGCAGAAACCAGAGCTAGAGATATTGCCTTGATCACTCATGGCCATGGGAGGAGACACACGGAGGATCAGAACTACTTTCTTGCTCTAAAAGCCAGGCGAAAGAGGTCAAAAGACAAAACAGCCCCAAGAGCAATTGGTGCTAATGTGCTATTTTAGATAATGATGGTCCTCATTTCTTATATAGTGACTTTTCATCTCTAGATCTCATAGCTCTTTATCTCAATTTTTCAGATTGCAAAACTGATTAATTACACTAGCAGCATTAGTATAATTAGTGCTGAGTATTCTCCAAGCTTCCTCTTCTTTAATCATCTGGGCTTTGAACCTGTAAATTGGAACTAAATCCCTATTTATCAAATAGCATAGATTTTAGCATCTGCAGAGGGTAGATTTTTGTTTATGTTGCTCTATCTTAAACTCAGATATTGTTGTAGCTTTGGAAATATGTCTGTGGGAGTGTACTGAAAACAGATAGACCAAGATTTCTCTCTCTCTCTCTTTTTTTTTCAGGTTTTTTTTTTTTTTTTTTTTTTTTTTTTTTTTTGGTCACATTTGATCTCTTGGACATTAAGCATTTTGGAAGGGAAAGGGAAAAAAAGAGCAGTACTATGTGTGCTTCAGTGTGTAGGTGGATTGAAATGTCTGGTTTTATCTATCTGGGATACATAACAGTTATCACACGAAGTGAAGACAAATTGTGCAACTTAAAAATGACAAGGACAAGGGAAAGGCCTTTGTTCTCATCTGCTAGACTTCATGTCAAGACCTTGTGTCACCAATATTTACTTTCAGAGAAAATTGATGAGATTTACTTAGAGACACCACAGTTTATATGGCTCGGTCTCTGGTCTGCTTTCCATGCCTCTTGGATTAGCATAGGAGGTTGCCTTAGTTTTCTTTTTCCTCTTCCTAGTAAACCGACCCAAGTATCTGTGAAACCTCAGGATTCCGTAGCTTGCACCACCCTCCTCTTACCTCTACCTTCAGCTCAGTACTGAGGAGCTTCTGTTGACTCCTAATAGCAGCAAGTTCTCTAGTTTGCTTTTACTAGATCTTCGTTATATTCTGGTAATTCTTCGATTTTTTGATTTTGTTGTTGATATAACAACTCATTCTTTATCTACAAATGTGGAAATAAAAGCATGGATGGCTTACTGAAGACTTTCA